TATGAAAAAAAAAAAAACTATTTATGCTAGTTTAAAACAAAAAGATCAAATATAGCGCTGAATATTCCAACTACAAAAACCTGATTCAACCTTTTGGAAAAGCATCTAACTATATCAAAAAATATGCTACAATTATAAAATAAGTTTCATAATTTTTATATTGTTTTTTATTTTTGGGAATATGTTTAATTAACTAACAGTCTGCAAGAATGAGATGGCAAGTCCTAAAATAACGTATACCTTCAGTAAAAATATAAAGTGAATACAATGCCTTGCCAATTTCTTTGTTTTTATTTCGACACAAAGCGAGAATTTTTTTATTTTTGTTATGTTTTTGTAAATATTGATTGTAGTACCGAATTTGTCAAAAAAACCGCGCTAAAACATATAGTTTTTTTCACTGTGCCAGAGACGATCACGTAAGTTTAAAAGTGTTTAAAATCACGTTTTATCCGGTTTTGTCTGGATAGTTATAGTTTCAATCATTTCAGTAGGTGGAACAACGCATTAAGTTTAAAAGTGCCTTTTGAAGCAAAATTGGGCGGAATAAGAAAAAAGACAAAAGTATTCAGCCAAAAATGCTCGAAAAAAGTGCAGGCTCTCATTGGCCTTAAAAATGAAAGAATACCAAGAATAAAAGATTAAAAAACGAGACTAATATCAATTTTTTTGAGAAGTCTACCTCTGTTTTCTGCTCGTATTTGTTCGGGTACTTTGTTTTATGGTTGGGCAGTCGCATTAGACCAGAGAGCAGTTCCTCCAGAGATATTTCATCTGGAACTGTCGTCACTGTCATTGTTTTCAGCGAGAGAGGGTTTTGGGATCCGGGTTTCAAACTAGTTATTCCTCCACCACTCAGATTGGTGTTCGTCAAGATGTTTTTCTCGGTTACTAATGAATAAATTTGAATTATAATCGATATAATTTAATAAGTTTAATTCTCATTAATTTTTAAATACAGACAACCAAATTATAATTTTGGCCTTTGCGCTAGTTAATAAAGATAAGTTATGAATCAATAATTAAAACTGTTGTAAATATTCGCGGTTTAAGAGGATTAAAAGCATGACTATCTTTATTTTTGCACATCTTCAAATTTGCTCAGCTTTTTTGTAATTAGACTGTGGAGCCAATTTTGAAACTCATGAAATAAGACTCATAAATTTTTTTAAGTTAAGTAAATTATCTAGGGCTCAACAAAAAATAGTGGCAGGGGCGGATTTTTTCTCTGCTCCAACTAAAAAGCCTTTCAATGGAAGATCGTCTCTGCTCTGTTGTAAAGCGTATTTCTATGCAGGGGTAGATTATGGTTGATTCTCGGGATTCTACCTCCTGGACACCCAAAAGTACCTACGCCTTTGGTACTATTTTACCACCTGCATTTTTGGCCAACAAACCCCAAACTTTTTAAATTTACCTTTAGAGTCAATATGTACCAACTCTGGTGAGGAGGAAGGCGTGCAGAAGAAACGCAAATTTTAAGTCAAAACCATCCAAAAAACACTTGAGAACGTCTTTTTTTATATGTTATTTTTTCTTCAAAAACTCGTCTAGTGCCCAGACGTTTTCTCAAAATATGTTTTTTATAATGTTTGGCAGAGCTCAGAAAATCAATCTGGCTTTCTTAAAAAAACCTCCCCTCCTCTTAGAAAAATCTTAGATTCGATCCGTCTTTGTTTCAGACAGTTTTTCCACCCACTTCCAGGGATGTGAAGAAACTATACAAAACCTATTTTTCACGCAAAATCGGGTGTTACAAAAAAATTGTCAAGAAAAAATTTCAGAAAATTTGGCGCGTTAGCAAGACAAACTGCTCTATATGTATTTTTTCAGCATGGGTGAGAAAGACTATTCCACTAAATATCTCTGTTTCACTTTGTCAATAATGTAAATTTTTAACCTGGTTTAGGCTTATTCATCTAAGATGAAGCTAACCGAAAAAAAACCAAAAAGCTATTGATATATTTTTCATGCAATTCCAAGAATGCAAAAATTTGCATGAAAGGCCTATGATTTGTTTTTTTTTCATCTACAGAAAATGCGCTACTACCAGTTTTCTATAAATAGAAAAAGTGTTATATTTAAAAAAAAGTTTGAGCTGTGAAACCACAAATGAAAAAGACCCTGGTTACTCAAAGCATGAGCCACCAACGATTTAACGTTTTTGCACAGGGGCGGATTTAGGGGGGGGGGGGGGGGCGGAGGCCCCTCCTCAGGGATTCGAACCCCTGCCAACCCAAAGGGTCCCCCTTTGGTACTTTTTAAGAAATCCATTTTTGGCCGACCGACCCTAAAATTTTTCTAAAGGCGCCTTTGGCACCAATCAATACTAATTTTTAGGGGGGAGCGCGCGCTGAAAAAAACGCGAATTTTTTGGTTGAAATTTTCCAAAAAGTGCCTCAAAACGCCTTTTTTTGGCCTTTTTTCAAGAATTTGCCTGCGGCTCAGAAAATTTGGCCAAAACGGGGTCTTTTTACTGCTTTGGGAGAGCTCGGAAAATCAATCTGATCGACCTAAAAAAAAAGGTTGTCAAAATTTTCGAAAATTTTTGGAAAATCCGCCCCCCCCCTCGAGAAAATCCTAGATCGGCCCCTGGTTTTGCATGTAATACTCATTGAAAACGACTGTATAATACTTTTCTAGCACAAACAATTGGAAAATCCGGTGCGTGATTGGAAAATCCGGTGCGTGATTTTTTCTACTTTTTGCGAAAAAAAAATTTAAAGTGCTAAAATTTGTATTCATTGCCCAGGGCATGCAAAAAATTGAAATACAAAAAAAATCAATTTTTCAAGCATTTTTGAATAAAAAATATCCAGAGAAATATAAAAATACGGTACAAAATTAGGAATACAAAAAAAAGGTTTTATGACTAATAAAAAAATTTTGTTTTCGCTTCTCAATTCTTTTTTGCTTGTTTAATGATGGATCCATTTTCTGCTACTTGCATAGCCACCGGTTATCTTCATTTACTTTTTGAATGTGTTCAACTTTTTCAGCACAGAGATAAAAATTTCCCCTGCTAGAGCAAGCGACTTGTAATCGCGAACTAAAGAGTTTGCAGTACAACATTTTTTCTTACAAATTTTCAAGAGGTCGGATTTTTGTCATGAAAAATATGTTTTTGAGAAAATATGAATTTCGGACTATTCTTTGGCTGCAAATTCTTAGTCGAATATCATCCAATGAAAAGTTCTACTGATTTTTCATTGTTGAAATTTGTTCTGTAATTTAAAAAGTTACAGACTCTGATTTTGAGTAAATTTAAGAACAAAAACTTGCTTTATTGATTTTGTGTTCTTTTACTTTGCCTTAGTTGACTTATTTGCGTCGTTTGATATGTAAAGCTATAATTTGACTCTATGTTAAAAGGTTCGATTTGAACGGTTTGAAAATTAAATAACATTTTTTGTGAAAACATTTTTGAAGGCAATTCTATTTTACACTTAACGGGTGCCTATTGAAGTTTCGCCGGCTAAGTGGCCGTTCTATAAACGATACTGAAGGAATAACTAACGTTTTTGATTAAGTATTTGTCTGTTTTTTTGCTGAAATTGATTATCAACTGTAACAATCTTAGAAAGTTTTTCTATATGTAGTTTTAAACCTTTCTTATAATCTATATATATATATATATATATATATATATATATATATATTCACTTCGCCTAAATGGGCTTAAATTCAAATATTCATTACAAAATTATTGTAGAGGATTTTAATTTTTCTGTTTTTACGTTTCAAAATTGTTTTAAAATTTGATTAAAATGCTCGTCAACAAATGATTTGTCGGTCGGATGTTTTCGTCTTTCCACGCGATATGACCTTGACTAACAAGGCACACGATATAATTTTGGCTATCTCTGTTCTATACGTTTTGTAGAAAAGGTCATCCTATCATATCGTGTAAAAATTTTGTGATCAAACATATGAAAAAGAATTAGAATATTTGCGAATTTTGGTTTGAAAATTCAAAATGTTTATTATGTTTTACCAATTTGAAAAACAAAAATTTGCTGTTTTAATTCAATTTATAAATATACCGGTGCGTGATCTAAATTCTATTACGCAGCATATGAGAAAAAATTGAATGCTTTTACCTTCACATAACTGCATTGCAGTTTAATAATGTCAAACAATTGGATGATCGTTAACAACAATGCTCTGACTCTTGAGGCCAAATTAAAAGGCAAGAACAAATCTTTTGAAGTAGTTTTTAATTTGGTTTATCAGCCCACAGAGAAATGTTGTCCCATGACAAGACCTTTTGAATTTTAAGAAGAAATTGAATAACATGGCGCTTCAATAAAATGTTTCATTTCAAATACTAATGGCAAAATAATGTTTTGGCTGAAAAGGATTACTGAAAAAAAAACTTTATTTTGAACAAAAAATTGAAAAATGAAGCCCGAAAACAAAATTAATTCAGTCGGGTTAAATTTTGTGGATGGGAGCAAAGTTCAAGAAAATGAACCGTGAAAAAAAAACAGACTTGTTTTCAGCTCAAACTTATTAGAAGAGGCGGCTGAGTTATCAATATTTTCCCGCTTATTTCACAGACAAATTGAGCACATTCAAAACTGCTCAAAATTTTTTAATGGAAGATCAGTTTTTTTGGTGGCTTCCACTCATTTCACAGAAAAGTTCTCATTAAGAACATCCGCCGAAAAACCCCTGAAAAGCATCAATTGTCTAAGAATTACCAGTACCAAAATGTGAAGCTTATACATTTTTTGTAGTAGTTTTTGTTCAGAATTGTAACTCAAAAAGTCCTGGATAACTTTCTGATAACATAAACAAAATGTTCAATACCATCAGTATAATAACAAAATTACCATTCAGCCATAACGATGGTCTATTTTTCTAAAACTTAGCTGATTGAAAAAACTATTCTACCTTTTGAGTTTTGCTTTGTAGGTTTTTGTGTTCTGTTCTAAGACAAAATAAGACAAACCTAAAAAAGTAACTGGTTAAGTGGCAACAAGGCCAGACATAAGCTGCATTGGCAGATTTGTTAAGTTTTACTGAGAACCCTATGGAAAAAGCGTAAACTTTTTTATGACCCGAAAGCTTTTATTTCAAAATTTCTTGAAATGAAAACCGTTGTCTGTTTTGCTTGACATATTAGATTTTATCTTGCTATTTATAACTTTAAATGGTAAATCTTGGTTGAAATAAAAAGTATATAATGATAATTGATTCATTTATTTGAACGTTTCAGTCTGGGTTATATGTTTATAGACATAATGTAAAATTTTTGCATACAACACATTTTAGTGCTTGCTTTACAATAAAAGTATTCATGCGACTACATGAATTTTTCCTCGTAGGTTTACAATTTTTACTTTGGAAAATTTTATTGTTGTCACGTAAAAATTGCTCAGCATTTAAACTTAACACATGTTTGTCGTTTGATATGCATTTTGCATGGAAATACATTGTAAACAGTTTTCGTGGAAGGAGGTCAAACTTGAAATTAACCACAATTTTTCGAATTTTCTTATTTCTTCGTCCACTTTTTTTCTGCTTAAATTGACAACCAAATCCTGTGATCTTAAGAAAACAAAAAAGTAAACAGCAAAGTATAGGCTTTCTCCCTGGATGATTATATGCATGGTACTTACGAATATATTATATGATTATATGCATTATACGAAAAAAAACGTTAACATTGAAAAAAAATTTTAAGTTATTTTATATAGCTAATGTCACCAAATGCAGTTTATATGCGTGGTAACTGCCAGGTACACTCTGAGTCCTTTTGTGACAGAAAATCCTTGGTTTGTGCGTTTTGGATTGAACACAAAATTTTAAAAGAAAAAGTTTTTGTATTTAATAGAATTAATGCTTATTATGCAATTTCATGGCACGAAAAAGTGCTTTTGCTATTTTCATAGAATTTTTGTGATAAAAAATATAGCAGAAAGCTTGTTATTTAATTCAAAAGTGTGGCAAAAGTGCGTACTATAAAAATTTATTGAAGGAAAAAGTTTTTATCATGCTATTTCCATGCTTTTTTTGGTTATGAAATGATATGAAATAGTATAATAAGCAATTAGTTTGTGCGAAATTTTATGATAGGCATTTTTTGTCAACCCGGGTGTATGATGAGAGATTTTTTGTCAACCGTGGTTAGCTGCTTCAATTTAATTTAAAACAATTTTTTAGTGCGGGATGAGTCGCCACTCGTTTAATTTATAAAACGAGCTTGCTTAGACAGACAAATGGCACGGTATTAAAAAGGTTTGCACAACCGGCTGAGACCATGAAGATCACGATGTCGATCTCCCGAGGGACCAGAGATTTTTTTAAAATGGTTTGAACAAAAAATACCAACCGGACCCAAACACAATATACATTCCTCGAACTATTAAAAGTCCGATTAGTCAGCAGTGAACAATCTGAATCAGTGATAAAAAACTTTCGCATGAATAATTTTGAAAGAAAGTGATGGCGTGCTGCTGCGAAACTGGTTTTGCCTCCTAAATATCCGGACAAACTGCGCAATCGCCATTCCCCGCAAGTCCAACAGCAACCAAAAAACTATAAGAAAAATTGATCATAAAGAAACGCTCTGACGCATGAAAAGTTTAATTTATAATCCTTTATTGTATTTAGTGTCTGCATACAAAGTACACGCCACAATTTACGTAGAAAGCATAAAAAACAAAAAAATAAAAACAGAAAACTCGCCTAAAGTGAAGGAAAGACATAAAAAATATATATTTCCTGCATTTTTTTTAGTTGTTCCGATTGATTTCCTAAGATGGTGTGAGCTAATAGAACGCTTCACTCCAGAGGCGGGTTTAGGGGTGCTTGGGAACGGACGCCCCTCCTCCCCCCTCTGGAAATCGATCCCTGCCGACCCAATGGGTCCCCCCTTTGTTACTATTTAAGAAATCAATTTATGGCCGACCGACCCTAAACTTTTTCTAAAGGCGCTTTAGGCGCCAATGTATACTATTTTGAGGGGGAGCGCGCGCCACAAAAACGCGATTTTTTTGTCAACATTTTTCAAATTTTTTTTTGTGTTTTTCTAAGACTGTAGTCGGATCATTCTATGCTAATTACACAGTAATAGGCCATCCTTGTTCAAAATTTTATTTCGAAGAACGTCTTAAGCAATTAAAAGGTAATTGGGCTAAGGAAGAATTTATTAAAAAGCCAACACAAAATTAACTTTAACATCCCCAGGAAAATAGCACAATAATCATGATTTCTTTTGTCGAATAAGTTGAATTAATTGACATATCATTGCTTTTCACAGATGAATTTGGCCCACCCAAAATTCCGCTCACACTATACAAAAAAAAACAGATTTTTGAAAAAAAAAACAGATTTTCTGTTTTCTTGCTTTTTGCTAAATTATTGGATAGACTAATTGAAGTTCTGATTATCCAAGTTTGGGTCTAAGGAAAGGTTTTTGATGTTTTGGTGTGGCTTCAAATTATTCGTTATAACCTATTATAAGTTGAATAATAAAAATTTTGAAGAACTTAGTTGATTTTTATTTTGCTTAAACCAAACAAAAGCAGTCATTAACGATTATAATTTTCTCTGAGGCTTTTGTGGTGACATAGAAAAAATTTCTTAAGAAACATTTAACTCAAAAAATTCCCGTTTTGGTCGATTTAAAACATTTTGCTGAGATTCTAATTAAGGAATTTTTATTAGTTTCTTAGTTTGTCTTGTTGAAATTTGTTGTTTTGATCAAGCACTTTCAGATATATAAAAGAAAGATTCGTTTGTAGACGAAACATCCATCTAAATCAATCATAATGGCATTTTCTGCACGGCTTTAAAAATGCTTTATGTTCCAACAACAAAAGTTTATTTGTTTCTTTTTTTTTAAAATTAGCCTTTTTTTCCGAAAAATTACATGAGGCTGGTTTCAAGCTGGTCGCAACATCTAGCATTTTCCTTAATATAAGTTGTCTGACTTTTAAATTTTATATCACTTTTTCATCAACGATTTTTTTTTTAGAAATCAGTGAAAGCCCAAAATTCATTTATAACAATCAAAACTAGATTTCTTTGAAGCTTACAAAACCATATCGAAACTAAACACATTCAATTTAATTCTAAGAAGCGGATTAAATTATTTCGTTTTGAAACGCCCTATTTTTTTTGCACCAGTACAGATTACGCCAGTATTATTGATTGAGGTAGTCGAGAATTTCATCTAAAAATCTAAAAACTTACCTCTTTTTTCAAACATTTGTTGACTAATTTGTTCTTTTCTGAGTTATTCTCTTTTCTAAAATGTGTTCTTCATGTAAATTTTCAACCTTCAGCTCAAAATTGTTGTTAAATTGATTTTCAGATACGCGTAGTCCCTTTTTTTAAATCACGGTTGATCTATAAAACAAAATGTGAAAATACTGCCGCAAATCTTCCATCAATTCCGTTCAAACTTTTGAATACTTAATTATGTGCTTTGGCAAATTAGACCCGCAAACATACTTTGATATTAATAATTAAACAATTACTTTGAAAATTTTATTTTCTTTGAACTCTGTATTCAAGAGCTCTTTATTCAATTTTTTTTTCGTTTTCCAAGCAAATTTAGGTACCACGAACAATCATCAAAAGGGGCTGAGTTATATATCACAAAAAATTCCCTTTCAGTCTTGATTCGAATGACATTACAAACTTTCGAGATTTTGTTTCAGTGTCGAAAATAAACCGCTAGGATTAACTAAAGCCGTGCAAACTTTTTTCTACTCGAATAAAGTTAGTTTTTAAATTTTTGTAGCGACATGTTGGAATTCGAAAATTTTGAAACGTTTTTTTTTGTTTTTCTTATCAAATACTGTTTTTTTTCCAATAAGTCTATTCGCTACTAGTCTTTAGTTTTATCTGTCTTTAGAAAACGTTTATAATAATTCTATTTCAGTTACCTCAAATCAGTGATAAGCTATGGATTATTACTTGTTTTTTGAAGAACATTTTTGACGGATTACAAAGAAATTGATTTACAATGAGTTTATTAAAAAAACCAACAAAAAATTAATTTTAACATCCACATGAAGATAGCACATCACTCATCATTTTTACTGAATTTGCCTGATTGTCAAAATTTGGAAGAAGAGAAATTTTTTGAAACTTTGGTTTTGCTTTAAATTATAAATATCCGTTATAATCTATTATAAAATGAATCATAAAGTTTTGAAAAAATTAATTAATTTTTATTTTAATGAAACCAAAAAAAATCACTAACGATTAAAATTAGTCTCTAAAACATAAAACAAATCTTTCAAAATATCTTTTTTTCAGAAAGCGCCCGTACGAATCCTTGTAAGACATAATAATAAATGGTTTTTTTTAGTTTTATGATTTATTTTGTTGAAAGTTTTTGCTTTGAAAATTATAATATAGCACTTACAGGTTTATAAAGTTATTCAAACTATCATTTTTCAGCCTGAATTGAGTGATAATTTGTTTGAATTGAATGCATGCGTAGTGTTTTTTTTTAAATCATAATGACTATCGCAGAGCAAATGAAAATTCCGTTCAAACCCCAAGTGCTTCTATATGTTTTGACAAATTAGACTCAAATACAAATTTTGATATTAATAACGGAGCAGTTACCTTACTTATCTTGATTTTTTGATTCCGACCATTTGAAAACTGTGCAGGAGTTTTGTTTTCGGGAAAGTTATTTAAAAAAATTTCCTCGCAAATTAAGATACCGAAAATAATCATTGCAAAGGGTTAAGCACAATTTCAGTCTTTTTCTCACTAAAATGTCTGTTTTCAAAGTCCATTTTGACAACTTTCACTTCTTTTTGCAAAATTTTTACCTAGACCGAGAGCAAATGATTAGAGCTACCGTCTCTGAAATTATCAACAGTTGGTTTACCTGACTCACCAATGTGCTCCGGGTCTTAAAATGCCAGTTTTCCTCATCTGCACTAAGTTTTGCATCGTAGTGAACTCTTTCTTGAATAAGCAGAGCAAAAACATTGTTCATGCGACGTGAAATATTCTCAGCGAGAAAATAGAAATAATCTGTGTGAAACCTTTACTAAACTCGGACGTTTCTTAAGTTTTCACGCAAAGTAAAAACTTAGTGCAGATGAAGAACACTGGCTATTTCAGACCCGGATTACATTGGTGAGTTTTTGAAACCAAACATTGAGAGTATCATAGAGGGTAGTTCTGATCATATGCTCTTGGTCCATGTACAAAAGTACTGAATTTCGAAAAAGATCTTGTCCAAAATGGACATTGAAAACAGGCAATTTATAGAGTAAAATGCTAAGTTTGCGCTTAATTTTGTCCACTAGTGTACTAAAGCCATTCCAGTCGTGATTCGAAAATTTCGATAAAATTTTCTCTCAGTGTCGAGAAAAACCGAAATTAATTTTTTTGGCTTCTGATCTAATCTTAAGCTAATAATGTGAGCGTGGAGGCTTACAATAACTTATTTAAGGCTAATTAAAGCCGTAAAAACTTTTTTAAACTAAAATAAGTTAGTGTCATTTTTTAGCGCAGTTTCGGAATCAAAAACTTCAATAACTCCTGCAAAAATTTTCTTTTCGTTTTCCCAGTCATTTTCTTCAAAACTATTTTTCCAGTTAGGCTATTTGATTCTGACTGTCAATTATAACGAAGTCTTATGTTTTTCTTCAGTTTTTATCACACCACACAGAAAAAACGACACCAATTTGAAAAACAAAATTTTTCCAGACAATGGTCGGAACGTTCTGTTCTATTTCCACAGTAACCGGCTATCCTTTTTTATCATTAGTTTTGTCTATCTTTTAAAAACCGCCATAAAATTTCTACATCATTTACGCCAAATCAGTAATAAGCTAAGGATTTTTATTTACAGAATCTTGAGAAGAAATCAATTTGAATTACTTGACTTTGATTCTATTAATAAGAAGAGTTTAAACATTTTGTCTTTTAAAATGCATTTGAGCAAACGTTTTTTTAATTGAGGTATGTGTAATAATTTTGTAGAGCCCGATCCGCTGTGATACCAATTATGCAAAATATCTCAAAAAGGTAGGTCGTCGTAGGGGACAGTTCTTTGCAGGCTACTTTTGGTCGGTGACAATTCTTCGCAATTAGGAAAGCGACTGAATCCCACACCCGCTAAAATCGAATCTCACACCAGCTAAAATCGAATCCCACACTTGCTAAAGTCTAATCCCATACCCGGTAAAGCGTGACCATTTGGTTACTGTGCATTGTTAAATAATTATATTCTGAAATACTTGTGTTATTATTCTGGCAAATTACTATGCAAGGAGTTTTTTTGCAAATTGCTCTGCCGAAAAACTTTTCGCAAATTGCTCTGCCATGAAATTTTTGCTAATTGCTCTGCCATGAAATTTTCGCTAATTGCTCTGCAATGAAATTTTCGCTAATTGCTCTGCCCTGAGTTTTTTCGCCGATTGCTCTAAAAATTCCGTTTTTGCCACTGAAAATCTAACCCATAGTCGCTTGCGACCAATTGTCACCTCACGATAGAAACCTCCTGATGTGCGTTAAAAATAGAAATTTAAAAGAGTAACAAACAACATTTGCGTTTGAATCATCTTCTAGTCTACACGTGAAAAAAAAAACATTTAATTATTTAAACAGGTAATCTAAATATGTTACGTTATCTGGTCTTATAATGTGTTTTGAAAAATTACCTCCTATGTAACTGACTCTTTCCACTTGCTTGAGCGACAAATTCTGCTTGCGGTCAACTTCTTCCATTCGTCAATTGAATATGCTCTTCAAGACAAATGAAGCAGCATCAAAATTTCTTGTTATTTTTATTTCTCACTTTTTGAAATGTTCAATTAAGAATACGTGAAATAATCATGTTGTAAATTGTTCACACTTGAATTAAGCGTTTAACGAAGTTTTCAACCACATGCTCTGAATATATGGCGCTTATTTTATTGGTAAATGATGCTAGTTTAAGTGTATACTCAGTTTGAAACAGTTTTGATCGCATGATTTTTTAGGCCATGACCTAAAATTCCCTGTGTGACTCGGCCATTTAATGGATTTTCTAAACCACTCTTCGACGCTTTAGTTTTTAAACACTACAAATTTAACTTTATTCAAGTGATTAAAGATGCTTTGAAAAATATGAAAACAAACGACATAATCCAGAAAAAAATTCTAATTTCTAATTAATGTTCTAAAACATTATTTCGTGTCTCATCGTGTATTTTTGTTTTGAGCACTTAAATGAATCTAAAATAGCAGGAGGATGTAGGAATTTCCTAAGAAGTGGACTACCGAAGTATTTTTACTAATTTTGCCAAATATTTTGGATACATTGCGATGATTATCACAAAATAGTACCATTAGTACCCACGGGACAATTTCCTGGGGCCTCCGAGCTGTTGTGATTTATTTCATTCATATCTCAGTTCTGACCAATAAGAAGTATTAATAAAGATATCTTTGATTTACTTTTTGATTCAAGCGTCGTTTAAAAAATGCTCCAATACTTGTTTAACAACCGAGTTTTCTTGAGTTTTAGGAACTCAAAATTGCAGCGCATAAAGTTCTGTTTGAAAAATTTTGAGCGCGTTTTGGCGTTTTTTTAGTGAAACAATCCATAACGAGTACTGCATTCCTTTTAAAGCCTGGCTGGCCGCCATATGCACTCATTTTTAATACCCTCCAGTTATCTTATTGTGTCAGGTTTTTTTTAATCGAGTCGGCGTTTGCTGCGAGTTGCCGCATTATAACAAGACTGCTCGTAGCAGGGCAAAGCCCTGAATGTTCCGACTGCCTTTTAAGGTTCATGGAGCAGTAATAACATTTAAAAAATTAAATGAAATAAAACAAAATGAAATTTTTTTTCCTAAAATTTGAATTTTTTTTTTCGAAAATCATCCCCCCACACGCCATTTAAAGTACAAAAGGATAGAATTCGCTCCTTGTAACAAATCAATTATGGCAAATAAGCTAAACTAAGCTAAGCAACCAATTTGGAACGATTTCTAAGAGGGATTAACTCTCCGCTTATGCGTTAATAGCGCGTTAATTGTCCCAAATTGGCCAAAATAGCAATTTTTAAACCCCCGTAACTTTACGAAAAATGGTCACAGGTGAAATATCTTTTCAAATTTGAGCTCAGGACACCAATACCTTTTGAATGATATAAAAAAATTCCGTCAAAAATGGCTAGTTCAAAAGTCGAAATTTGTCTGAAGAAAAAAAAAACCCACCCCGAGCACAAATATTCCGTTACTTTCGTATCGAAAGTCGGAACAATAACAAAAAACCATGGCTGTTGTTGTGCCCCCAACCTCATATGACAGGGGAGATTTGTTATAAGGTACAAAGTTCATTTGATTAACCTTTGAATTCGTTTTTTTTATAGGAGTAGTAGAAATTCGGTTATTTGAAAGCTCGGCTGGAAATTGATGCTTTGAACATTAGAGATGAAAATCAATTTACACCCATATTTTTTTCAATATAGACTTTCAAACCTCCCTGGAATAAATTTAGATGAATGGCTGAGAGAATGCAGAGTATGCCTCGTATGTAAAATCCGTCCACCGCTCTTTTTTTTTCACATCCTGCCTGCCTATAAGAAGAGTAATAGTGCATATCCCTATCCCTATATAAAAGGCATGCTAAAATGGGAGCACCTTTTTTCACGGCTGCTGATTTTCCTCATAACCAGAAACTATTCACCTTTCAAACCATGAAAAGAATCCGTTTTAACAGTTTTCGGCTTCACGAAAAATCCTTTGTTCAAAAAATCTACAACCGAAACTCGCTTTAAAAACACCACGGAGCGTTTTATTTTGACTGCAGTTAAAAATGAGGTCAGTGTACGCCTCAGTTGTGAAAAAGTTTTCTTTTACAATGCATGTTTTTATCTGAAAATATGCATATTTTAAAAAGCCATTATTTATGTGACATACATCTGGATGTTTACATATTCTTTTTTAAGAATTAAATATACGATAGCCGTTTATTTCTGAAAGTCATGAATTATTTGAACATAAAAGAAGGTTATCATGGAAAACGAAAAAAGCATGCTCTGAACATTTTAAGCGTCATCTGACAAATCAAAGTAAGCGCTCAGTGTCATAAGCCGTTCTTAAAAAGTTTAGTATATTCAAAAGTAAGAATTTGACTTTTAATAGCGTCTAGAACCATCAAAAACACTAGCTTCAAATCATAAACAAAGCTGATTTCACGAAATCGTATAAAACTAAAATCAAATTGTGATCAAATTTTTGTTCACAAAAACAAGTATTATAAATTTTTGTCTCCAAAATCAGTTTAAACACCTTTATTCGAATTCTATCTTCTTTGAAAGCCTCATAATTAATTTATTATGTTTCAGTTTTCGTGGAAGAAGTTTTTTTTTTGAGTTGTGTGACAAGAATTTTTTTATAAGCTCCATATCTAAAGTTGCATGACCAGCATTCTTTTTGTACGAAGCAGGGGCGGATCTTGGATTTTCTCCGGATTTTTAAAAATTTTTCGAAAACTTTGGTGACCTTTTTTGTTTTTAGGTCGACCCAATTGATTTTCCGGGCTCTCCTAAAGCCCAAAGCACTATAAACACCCTGTTTTGGCCAAATTTTATTTTTCTGCGCCGCAGGTACAACTTTGAAAAAATAGGCCAAAAAAAAGCGTTTTTAGGCACTTTTTAGAAAATATTCACCAAAAAATTGCGTTTTTTTTTCGGCGCGAGCTTCCCTTCTCAAAGTCATTACATATGAGCGTTAAAGGCGCCTTTAGAAAAATCTTAGGGTGCGACGGACCAAAAACCACCTAAAAGAAAAAATGGATATCTAAAAACAGAACAAAGACCCCCTAAACCCGGCCCTGGTACGAAGGGCAACCCTGTTTTCGAAAAATGGGCATGAAACTTAATGCATTGATTTATGAAACCAAAACCGCTCGTCGTCAAATTTTTCAATTTGAGGCACATTTTTGCGACCCTGAATACCACTTTTATCTGGGCACGGTACCTTTGATCGAGACTTGTTAAACAGCTAGGTTGTTCATAAATTGACGCTTATGTTATTAAAATAAAGATTTCATTCGTCGAGTAATTCTCAAAATTCAATTTGGCGTCGAAACGTTCTCGCAATTTTGTAGAAACTTAATCCCATAATGCATTAACATGTTTCAGTACGTCTGCAAAATAGATTTTGGTTTTATCTAGAGAATCTCGGGCGCTTCTGAGCCAAGTATTAACTCGGTTATTCCAACAAATCCTTCATTTTCAACCTCATTGAAGGTCGAATCCTTATCAGACCAGGTTCAACTTCGACGCTATAAATGGATGCCTCAAGTTTAGTCCACTGGTGGTACACATTTAGTTTATTTGCGATGGGCGCCGAGCGTTTTATCTCTTTTGTGAGCCGCCTCGAGTTACACGAACTTTAATAACACGATACGAGAACAATCCACATATTTTATCATCGCTGATGATACCCCAACTCTTTCTTCTTTCACCTATTATACCGATTTATAAATTATTAACCAATAAATAACTATTATAACTATAAAAATTTGTTCAGTTGACAATTAATACTCTTGAAACCATGAATGAAACCAGAACCCAATAGCATATTCCTTCAATCCTCAAATGTATGTAAAACAAAGAGAACTATTGCCAATATTCTTACCAACGTACGTCATTTCCATCGACTTAAATTTATAACCAAGTGTTTTATTTTACAATTTTCTAGCCTTGTACCAACGCAACACTGCTGTCTTTTATTTATAACCGTCAGACCTAAACCATAACTTGAAGTGAATTTGAAATGCGGAACTCAATTGCAATCTGCTGCTAGCCGCATTTAAGATGACACTTAAATCATACTAGAAACTGGGCTTCAAGTATTTCATTCAGCTTCATAGTTGTTTATGCAACGATCTACAGAAGTTGCGGGAACCTCGACAGGAGCCGTGGATATTGTATTGGACCAAACCGAAGCCTAAAGGTCAGTATTTCGAGGCCACTCACAGTTGTCGAAAATTTAATTTTATTTCTGTAAATTGGCGCCAGTGGCTCCAAAATTGTCCAAAATTGTCGGAGGTCTTTAAATATCGATGATGAATCATCAGGGGCGGACCTAGGATTTTGTCGAGGGGGGGGGGGGGGGGGGGGTGGGGGAGGGGAGCGGATTTTCAAAAAAATGCTCGAAAGTTTTTTCGACTATTTTGTAGGTCGACCAAATTGATTTTCTGAGCTCTCCCAAAGCACTAAAAAGCAGCTACAAAGACCCTGTTTTGCAAAATGTTGAAAAAACAGGCCAAAAAGGCGTTTTTAGGCAGTTTTTGGAAAATGTTGATAAAAAAGTTGCGTTTATTCGGCGCGCGTTCCCCCCTTAAAGTTAGTATATATTGGCGCCGAAGTCGCCTTTAGAAAAATTTTAGGGTCAGTCAGCCAAAAATGGATATCTCAAAATAGTACAAAGAGGGGCCCTTTGGGACGGCATTGGGTCCAATCCCTGAGGGGAAGGAGGGCGTCCGCCAAACCCACCCCCCTAAATCCGCCCCTGATCAGTACAACAGAAAGCGAGCAGATTCAGAGACCCAACAAGGATAGCCGGTTCCTGTGCAAGAAGCATTGAATGTTCCGACCATAGTCTTATACAATACAACATTTTTTTTCGGCGCAGTGTGGTAAAACGATCTGAACGAAATCATTAAGCTTAGGTGTGCCCGACATTCATAGTTTATTGTAAAACACGGAAATTCGAAAACAATTTTTTTTTCAGTAAAATGGCTAGAAAAACAAAAAAAAACGTTTTAAAAATTTTTTTGAGGTTTTTTTTTTAATATTTGAAGTTTTCGATTTCAAAAAGGCGCAAAAACACTCAAAACAAAGCAATTATTTGACTAAAACTAGGTGTTTATGGCTTAAGTTAAGCTATTGTAAGCTTTTAAGACATAATAATGGCTTATGAGAACTGTCGATATATATCGAATTTTGGTCATACTCAATCAACAAATAAGTCACGCACGGTCGAATTATTCCAAAACTTTAGCCTAATATGGTCAAAACGCCTTTCAAGCACGGCCATAATCAACATCGAGTGCATAAATTGCTCGCTCGTTTTTAGCTCTCAAATTGAGACAATAACCAAAAATCAAACAGGTTTTTGTTGTTACTGGAAAAACTTTTGAAAATTTATTAATGTCGCTCGAATCTCGACTGAAAGTCTTTTTGTTTTTCACGCAGCTAATTTTGCGTGGAAAAAAAAACTAAAAAAAAAACTAAAGCACCCTCGAATACCGAAAACAAAATTCCTCCCCATTTTTTAATTAGTTGGAACACATAGGTCAAAAAGGACCAATAGACCAAAAAACGAGGGTATTGCGAGCTTCAATTGCATAGCCACACAAGGGTAACCAGTTGCTTTGCAAGTAAGAGAAACTTGTTTAGTTCTGCACTTTTTTTAAAGCGTGTCGGTTTTCACTCATGGCGTCACGAGAGTATCTGAATGAGTACAGAAGTAAATTAGCCGTATTCGACAACAGTTTTCTCAAAAGCTTTTTCATTTTGCAGAATTTTTAGAAATTTTTTCGAAACTTTCCAATACCAAAAAAGCGCTATAAAACTTCGAAAACAATCTTAACTTCCTTCAACTCGGCCAGTTCTGCGCATTTTTCCCTATCTCCAAGGAATTCGAATATGTTTCTATTTTTTCAACCGAAAAATTTACTCGATTTTGATCGGCACAAGCTAAATTTGTTCCGACCGTCTCAACCGAATCGTGTTTATTTTCATTTTCTCCACCGAAACATTAAGCTGACTCTAAAGTGACCTAGGCTAGATGGTTCCAACCAATTCTTGAAAATCGCTTTTATTTTGATATTTCCAACAAAAATTTAGTGATTGAATTTGTTTAAATTAAGCTCGATAAATATCTATCAATTCGACCAGATTCGAGTTTAATATCCTTTTCTCGATCAAAAAAACTGCTCTCGACTTAGTTTGACGAATGCCAGATTAGTTGCCAACGTGTATACTGGTTGCATTTGACTGAATGTGAACAAGTTTTGACTGTGCTTGAGGTGTATTCCAAATTATTCAAGTTTTTCAGCTAAAATTTCAGGTGTGAGATTCTTGCGTCAAACATATAATAATATGTTGAAACTTGAACGAAATGTTTATGTGTTTTTGTCCTACTGCGGAAACTCTTGAATCAAAGTGACAAAAAGATCTTTTGTCACTTCTGTTTGCGGCTAAAAAACGCCCCTGAACTGATTGTAACGATATATTTGGCCTTTTTGATGGTATAATTCTTTTGTTAGCATACAGCATACTTCATAATAAAAACCCGTAAAAATAGAATTGAACTGCTTACGACCAAATTATGTTGATTTTGCCCGTGCTTGAAGTGCGTTTTGACCATATTTGATTAAAGTTTTGGATTAATTCGACGTGCGTGAAATATTTGTTGACCGAGCATGACCAAAATTTGATATGTATCGACAGTCTTCGTGGTCTGTTTGGAGTTTTGCTCGGACCATATTCTTTCTCGAGTAATTTGCGTGTGATCAATAACTGACATTTGCGTAGTTTTGAAACGCGAAATCTAAAATGAGCAATTCGACCCGTTTTTGATCGTTTTTCTAAGCCAGAACATAAACTGTAAGACAATGAAGAAAACAAACCCTGAAATTAAAACAAATTGGTGAGTTGTGTGGTAAATTTTCAAGTGGTTGAATGATGAAATATACTATCAATCAAAATACTAAAATCACGAATCGTAGTGGTCACTTTAAAATTCTACCGTCCCGAGCAAACTTCTTTATATTTCGACCAGGGGCGGATCTAAGATTTTTTCGGGGAGGGGGTCTTTCAAAAATAATTTTGTCGACCTTTTTATAGGTTGACTAAATTGCCTGCAACCAAGTTTAGGCGTACCATATTAGTGGAAAGGTTCCCGCGGTAGATGAAAAATAAATCTTTCGAATCAATCATGAAACTAAATTAATTTTCTGATGCTTTGGTGGTTAAAAAAGCTTAAAATATGCATCACAAAAAACTCTAATGGGGAAGACATGAAAAAAAAACTTTATAAATTTGAATTGATTAGAAAACTTTTAAAACATTTTTTATCATTTTTCATAGGAACTAACGTCTACAAAAAGCATAAAATATAAGCAATTTAGATGTAAATTTGAAGACAAAAGGGACAAAGAAAGGGGATTATAATCAATTATAATCGATTATAATGGGTTTTTGTGCAAAAGTAATGAAATAGAAAGTTCATTTTGGAGGTTTTTTGAAAATTTTGATTAAAAAAATTGTGTTTTTCGGCGCGCTCTTCCCTTCAAATGTAATATATGATGGCGCTTCATAAAATAATACGAAAGGAGGGTATTATTACTAAAAAAATACCCTTTTGTTGGGACGGGGCGTCCGCCATCCACCACTTCCTCAGTCGGCCCCTGATTTCGAACGCATGGGCCGTTTTCGCGCATGCTTTGGCTAGCCTGGTCAAACTCAGGCATATGTCGACCTTGCTGAACACAGGGGCGGATTTAGGAGGGGGGCGGGGGGGACGGACGCCCCCCCCCCCCCCCCCTCAGGGATTCGAACCCCTGCCAACCCAAAGGGTCCCCCCTTTGGTACTTTTTAAGAAATCCATTTTTGGCCGACCGACCCTAAATTTTTCTAAAGGCGCCTTCGGCGCCAATATATACTAATTTTGAGGGGGAGCGCGCGCCAAAAAAATGCGTTTTTCCTGTCAAAATTTTCCAAAAAGAGCCCAAAAACGGCTTTTTTGACCTGTTATTTCAAAAAATTGCCTGCGGCGCAGAAATTTTGGCCAAAACAGTGTCGTTTTACTGCTTTGGGAGAGCTCGGAAAGTCAATCTGATCGACCTAAAAAAAAAGTCGTCAAAATTTTCGAAAATTTTTTGAAAATCCGCCCCCCCTCGAGAAAATCCTAGATCCGCACCTGGCTGAACAGAAAACAAAAGTGCTCATTTTTGCTCGAACCATGGCAGGTGTTTTTTGACCGTACCGACCCTACTCGCGTGTGTTTTTTTAACAATTAAAAGTTTTTCAATATAAAAAATATAGCAGATTTTTTACAGGTCATAACTGTTTTAGGAAACCCATTCTTAGTCCGACACCCTAAAAGATGTGTTTGGTGTGAAACATTTTCTAAATTTGAAGAGAATGCGCAACAAAAACGCGAGTTTTCGGCTTAACCGTTATAGAAATTCCACCTAGAGGTGCATAGAGTTCTTTCAGTTGTTGTTTGGAAAAATTGAACACTCTTACCTTCAGAAAGTCAACTTTTTGGAAACTTAACTACCCGTGAAGCCCGCTCATTGATACTAATCTATGCCATCAATTGCATGACATCATTATTACTGATTGATAAGAAAAGTATTACTTTCGCTGCTATCGGATTTTCTACAGCGTAATTAATTCTACTTCTATAGCACTAGCGAGCTTGTTTTTTACTTGATAATTTTTTACTGAAAGCTATAGTGATTATGGGAGAAATTTGAGCAAAAATTCGCTACAGAAAAAATCATATCTCAGTTTTGAATGAAATTCTCTATATATATTTATTGTTTCGACCATTTGAAAAATGCGGAGGAACTTTGTATTTGGGTGTGCTTTAGTCTTTTGTGTTCCATGCAAAATCAGATACAATAAATAATCATTGGAATGGGTGGAGTGATGTATCATATTACAGCCCTTACAGTTGTGATTCGAACGGCATTAAAAAAATGAAAACTAGATTGAAATTTTTGGTTTTTGGTTTAATTTCAAGCTAATAAGGTGAGGCTAAGCAGTCTTATAAAACCTTCCTTATTTAGGCTTAATTTTAGCCGTGAATACTTAGTTTTAATCAAGTAATTTTAGTTTTTGGAGTTTCTTAGGGCCAATTTGTGAATCAAAAGCTTCAAAAATTTTCTGCAAAAAAATGAAGCAGTTTTTTTTCTGGTCATTTTTCTATAAAAACTGTTTTCCTATTGACCTATTTTACTATGAATGTCGAATATGCCTAAGTTCTGTTTTTTTGTTCTAACTTTTTCATCACACTAAGCAGAAAAAACGACACTTGTTTTGAATTTTTTGATGTATTTTTTAAGACTATGGTCGGAACACTATGTGGTACCAGCACAGTAACCGGCTATCGTTGTTTCTTGCATGTAATTACCTTCCCTCGTGTTTGATTTATGTCACATATCTGCTTTTAGAAATTTTGTTTTGTCTGTACTGCTGCTAGGGCGTTTTATTGATTTAATCTGCAGTTCCAACTAGGGATAATGTGATAAACTCACGTAGAGTGACCACACCCCCCTTTGAAACCTACGTTTTCATTGAATCCGCTTACATCAAAACAATCAGATAAGCTGCCTTCAAATTTGAAACTCATCTCAGCGTACTTTAGTCTACTTCTTCAGCCCAGTAACTTCAAAAGAGGGAATTGCACAAGAAAGAATTGAATTAAAGCTGTAATATCGCTATGCAGGACTGTTTGTACAACACCGTAAACTCTTGAGTTTTTCGACATCCCTTTTATTGGTTTCCAGTAGTTTTTTAAGCTATAAGCTATAGACTGTCAAAAAAAATGTGTCAAACTTTGTGTCGTATAAGTAAATGAGATGAAAAATTAGCTTGATTTCATTTCGGAACAGTTTTGAATGCGGGAAGCTTTTAGAATGAATGATTTAATATTCAAAGTATCAAACGAGCAGTGTTCGAGGCTCAAAACAATTTCAGGATATTTGGCGCATCTGCTTGACTGCACAAAGATTACAGGATTGAGCCAACCTAAATACTTATCTCAAGAATAGTGCAAATAGAAAAACCCAACCCAAGCTTGTATTTATCTCTTCGAAAGTTGAAACAACAACCTGAATTAGGAATGACTTCTGTCAGGTTTCAAAAATTTCATTTTTTGACAGCCCCACCCCCCCCCCCCACCGATATTTTTTTCTATTGAGTTGAAGCCAGAGGTAGCTTACTCATAGAGTAATTTCAGATAAGGTACACCGCATGTTCGTCACGCTATCTTATTTTTGGACGGATAGATTCGTGCAAATTCTTGGTCTAATACCAATCTTAATCTTAGTCTTATATCTCCTAGTCTCAATAGATCTAGTGTATACTCGTATTCGCGAGTTAGGTTTATGAAACTTGTTCCAAGGGAGAACAACTGACTTCTAAGATTTATTCAAATTGTTCTGGTGCTGAAACTAGAAGTAGTTTCACCACTACAAACAAAATAGGAAGACTTTCAAAATAGGAAGACTTGTCCAATTAAATACTTAGTAAGACTGCTCGTATCAGGGTAAAACTTCAACGGTTCTAACTACACTTAAATTTTCACGAGTGTTAATGGTTAATGGCTATTTTTTCGTACTTGGCCAAACTATCAGTTTTCAGAACCCAATATTTACTGAAAAAAGTTCAGAATTCAAAAACTATACGAATCGCCATAGGATGATCGCTGTCGGTTTGAAAAACTGTATGACCAAAACAGTTCGGACAGTTTTAACCTATCACAAAAAAAATCTAAGCAAATAACTAATTTGCACGCAAACTAAATTATCACAAAAAAATCATCGACTTGAAATTCTTACGCTTTTTTTTCAGATAACAACAAAATTTCAACGTGAAAAAATCTTTCTGAATGATTTTTTCTAGCTCCTGAGCTACTTAAACGACCACCATCTTTTCTTGATCAATTTTGGCTCAGATCAAACTGATAAAAACTAGAAACTTTTTTTTTCGTTTTTTTTTCCCAATTTTTCTCAAGGGCGTTTTTTTCTCAATTTTTCAAATAATTTTTTTTTTCGATTCTGCTTTCACATGGGTTTTTCCAAAAAGTTTTCCGTCACAACAATACGCAGCACCCCCTTTGCACTATTTTGAGATATCCGTTTTTGGTTGAATGACCTCAAAATTTTTCTAAGGGCGCCTTTGGCGCCAATCTATATTAATTTTTAGGGGGGAGCGCGCGCCGAAAAAACGCAAATTTTTGGTCGAAATTTTCAAAAAAGTGCCTCAAAACGCCTTTTTTTTAACCTTTTTTCAAGAATTTGCCTGCGGCGCAGAAAAGTGGTTAAATTTAGGGACTTTATAGTGACTTGGGAGAGTTCAGAAAATCAATTTGGTCGACCTAAAAAAAGATCGACAAAATGCTCCTCGATCCGCCCCTGGCAATATGTATATACATGAAGAAAATAACGAAAGTCTTGCATCTTAGCAATTCTTTGAAACCTGCTAGCGAATCAATCCTATTTTTTTGTAATTGCTAGCTTTTCAAAAGAAAAGTCAGTCAGTTTTTTTCATATAAAAGTTGAGTTTCTTTGTCATTATCGAAACCAATTTGAGTGCTTACCAAAGGTTATATGAGTGCTTACCAAAACACTAGAAAGTACTTTAGGTTGAAGTTGTTCAATATAGCGCGTCGAATACTGTTTGATATACGCCATATGTAGGCGAAAAAAACCGCCGTCTAAGTTAAGTTGATTCAGGCTGTTTAATGTTTCATTTTGAAGTAAACTAAGAAACACCAAGCAGTGAATTGTTTTTCTATATGCTAATTTTTTAAATCAATTTCAGTTGAATCCAGTACACCAAGACGACATCTATACAAACTTTCCAGAAGTTTTGCACTACATCCAACAAGCAACAGGCCAGAATTAACCAAGTGTGATCCGAAAAGATCTTCTTGAAAACCTACAATCATCTTTTGTCATCTCTTGAAGCTACAAGCTTTGTCGAACATTTGCCTGTCCAAAAATGATTTCAAACTGCAACTTGCGGCACCAAAACTGCCTCAACATTCTGCTTCTTTTCACATCGGCTACGGGGATTTCTCTGAGTGCCTTTTTGAAACGAGTGAGTGGATTGGGAGGGTTTGAAGTTAATTTTGCCCTCGTTCAATTGCTACCTTTAACCCTGGCGTTGTTCACCCTTTATCCAAGCGCCGACAAACCCATCATCAAAAACTCTCAGACCAAAATTTCTACCACCAGATACAAAATAATCTCCAAAATATACCCAGTTTTAAACGGCCTTGTAGTTCGAGGCGTGAATACAATTACATATTATGAAGCACTTAATAATATTCACTCGGGCGATGTTCTTCTGATATCAACCTTTATTAGTTTGCTGGGCTCAGTTTGCGCAGAATTGTTGATATTCCAGAAAAAGCCGAAACTATGTACAGTTATTTCCGGTTCTGTTGGAATTATCGGGATTGCTTTCATCGCTCGTCCTGACTTTTTATTCGGAAATTCTTCAGCCTCGGGAAACAGAATTTGGGGTATTTTCATGACTTTAGTCACTGGAAGCAGCAGTTTTCTTTACTACGCCACGGTTAAAAAGTGCTCGGAAGTTTCGATATTCTGGCATTTCTTCTCGGCAGCTCTCGGGACTGCAGCTTCATCATCGATTTTATTCTACCTCAACTCGGATTTTGTCGTGTCGCACTGCGAAGAGTCGTTGCGATTTGTCGCGCTAGTTTCGGCTTTGCTTTGGGCAATGAGTGCCATGCTAACTTTGTTCACAGTCGGGATGACTATGCCCTCCATAGTTTATATATCCCGATTCTGGACCATACTTCTGTGCTATATTCTGGAGGTGCTGTTTCTACCCACTGAAGTCACGTGGACAATGTTAACCGGGTCGGCTTTTGTGATTGTCGCTCTGATATTGCAAATGAGAACCATGAGCAACACCAGATGATCCAGTTTTGAACTTTTGAAGCTGATTTTCAAAATAAGTTTCGAAGATCTTTCGCTTTTGATAAGCCAACAACAAACTTAATGGAAACAATCCAAGAAAATCATGATCATCTAGAAAAGCAATTAGAGGTTTGTCCAAATTGCGAAATTCTCTTCGAATCTGAAACACGTGTCATAATTTTGTATTTTTTAGTTAAAGCCTAAATTAAAAAACCAACTGTATAATTGATATTACTCATTTTTTTGTTTATTCTTAATAGTGTTAAAAGTGAGACCCAGTTGTTTGAGAACAGAGAGAGAAAACTTTTTACTAAGGCATGAAAAAAAACTTCTTTGGCCGTCTAAGACTCTTATTAAGTGACAGGGCAAAATGTTAATATATATTACATATTTTGAGTTTACATTCTTAAATGACTTGTATCAGCTTGTTTGTCAGATTTTAAGATTTCTTGGAAGATATGATTTTTTGAGGGTATTTTAATGGAAATAAGTTGACCCACAAATGCACTTATTCCAGGCTGTAGAAGTAAACCAGCGCGGTTATATAGCGGAACCTATAGTTTGCAAATCTTAAATTTCTGAAATTTTCAGATATGCTTTGCCTCATCTCAGGAACTGGAAAATTTTGAGTAATTAAGTATTGAATTATGTTTTGGCTGAAACAATTACGACGTGTTTTTCTCTGAAGTTTGTCTTTAATATAATTTTTTCTCGTTTGTTCAATTCTGTTATCTAAGTTACCCATGTCAGTTGCGTTTTCCAGTTCGTCTAATTTTCGTGCACACAGCCACTGAAAACCGTACATGGATAATGCAAATGGCGTAATACAGTTTTGATTTGAATTATCGGTACAAAACGAACAATTTTGAAATTTCAAACGCGTTTTTCTCAAACTGGATTTTTAACAGAATTATAATGTTTTTTTTTTCGAAATTCTCAACAAAAACCTTACCTCAAAATTGTAAAATTATCTAAGAATTACGCTGAAACTACTTAATTAATTGATGCAAAACTTATATAAAAAAGAAGCTCCTTATACAAAATAACAAAATTCTATGAACCAAATTAACTTCCTCTCCCAAAGCCGTTTGGGGGAGGGGGGAAGTTGTTAACTTGGTTCTAAGTTGGGATTTTTCAGCCAATCAGAATCGAGCTTTTTACATGCAGCACTTAGCAAATTTGATTTAAATTAAGCGCTGGGATGCAGGATCTTAACTTGGTCTATTTGGGGGGGGGATGTTAAATTGATTTAATTCTATAAATTCCGTGAAGCTTTGAAGTTTGCTTTTAAGGAAAGGCTTTGCTCTTTTTTATAATGCAAAAATGAGCTTTTTTGGACTTCAACTGAAAACATAATCTATTTATCATTCCAGAAATTTGTTAGGCCGTGATATAAGTTTCTCATCAATGAGCTTGATAGTTTCAACCTAGTTCTTGATTAGTGAAAAAGTTAAAATGACTCTTTTTCCGGATAAAATTTTAGTTAAGAATTTCAAAAAAAAGTTGCACCATGTTTTTTTGGTTAAATTATTCACAATTTTTTTAATACTTTTTGTATAAATTTTTGACCCAGTTTAGAAAAACCGCAAACCGCGTTTAAAGTTTCCAATGTTGTTCGCTGTGTCCGATTGAATTATATCAGCGCCGTACAAACGAATTAAGATGAAAGTTTTTTGGTTCCTAGTGGAGCTCCGTCTCCTATGCGTTTTGTGGTTTGAATACAGAGGCTTTTTTGTATTAAATTGTTTTTACTCGAAGAAAGAAACGGACTATTTTAGCTTGGGCTGATTTTTTCAATCAGCTAATTTTCGAATTCGTATTTAAGGTTTTTATACTTTTTTATTTCATCTTGAAGAGATCAATATCTTTAGCAAAAAGTTTGGTGGTACTTGTTTTGGTGGTAATATTTGATTTTCGGTGGTACTTGTTTTGCAATGTTAGGAATTTTTGAAAAAAATACTATCCTAAGTGAATACCTTTAAGATCTCAATAATTGAGAAACTGAACAACTTTCCAATCTCAGATTTTGAAAGAATGAAAACTTTCAGATCTCAAATACTGAAGAATAAAACAAATTGAGGTAACTTTTCCATGAGTTATAATGCTGAGTTACTAATAAATTTTTTCCAAACACCAAAATGTAACATTCACAATTTTAGCTGAACAATGATTCAGGATTTGTTATTGGATTCAACTAACAATACTAAATCCTTGCTTTTAAACTCCGCATTTGCTAAATATTACTTCCAGCTATAGCTCTTAATTGTTAACTAGGAATCAGTTCAGTATAACAAACCAAACTCCGATCCACTCATAATTGTGGAATCCACTTAAATTTGCTGAATCCACTCAGATTTTGCTGAATCCGCTTACATTTGTGAGCTCCGTGACAACTAGTTAGATTAACTCGTTTCGGAATCCGCGACAAAACTAATGTGCCGACAAATTTTACGTTATAGGCATTTGTGCGCGAAATCCAGGGAAATTTTGGAAATGGAAGTAGATTTTTAAAGACTTGTCTCTGGAATCCAGGAACTTGCAGACAATAAACTGTGCACCTATCCTGTGCACAGTTTGACCTCGTAATGTTCAGTTCTAACTTTTCAAAAAGGGAGTCACAGTGCCTGGAAAACTGAAGGAACATAAGTCCCTTCAACGATGGTACTTGAAAGTTTTTAAGTTTCCTCCAGTAGATGAAGAATTTATTTGCAATCTAAGTCTTAACTCTCCGTAAAGCCACATATGAAAGCCTTATACAATGAATTAAAAAATAGCCGTATAAAAGTAAACAATCAAGAAAAGCAAAATCAAAAATTCTTGGATTTTTTTTCGATATGACAGAGAGGCGCTAAATTAGATTTATTAAGCGCCCGTTTGTTATAAATACCCTTAATAATTTTGTTTTTAAGTTTCGTAAAATTACAACACATTTTAAAAGTATTTTAGTTCATTTAATTTACTGTATCCCCCTTGTTTTAAGCGTCAAAAGTGTGTCAGAAAGAGACCCAACTTCTTTTACAACTTAACAGAATGACTAATCTTTTCAGATGATTATGACTGAGCTGATTGAGTTAGGACAGAGGTGGTTAACTCATAGAGTAATTTCGGATAGGGTACACCGTCTGCTCGTCACGCTATCTTATTTTCGGCCGGATAGATTCGTGCAACTTCTTAGTCTAATACCGATCCTAATCTTACTCTTATACTTTCTAGTCTCAGGGTGATTAACTAGTCTCTGCTAGGCTCAATAGATCTAGGGTATACTGGTTTGTTGCGGCTGCTGAAGTTCTCTTGGAGAGACAACTAATTTCTAAGTTAAAATCAAATCTCTCTGGTGCTGAAATTACAAGTAATTTCAGCACTTACAAATAAGTGGGTTGTTAGTTAGATGGATCATGATTAGTTAATATTAAATACTTTACAGTGGTAAAATATCTAATTTATCCAATCATAAAATATAGTTTAGATCAGGTTCCACCCATCCGGGTTTTACAGAGTTTTTTAGAATTATCTTTCTGCAATTCAAAGGATGGATGATGAACGTTGGTATTTGGCGAACATCGTATTCTTGTCCGATTCCTCTTGTTAGAGAAGTTCCAGGACGCTGGAGTTAGGGGCATCAATCGTTGTGTCTTCTTGTGACAACGACTGTGTTTCCCAACGAAATCATTCTGATTTCAAAATGGTTTGCTATGACGGGTTTTTCTGTATTATGTAGAGAACTTGTTTTGTGTTCAACCTCGTCTGGGAATGGCGTGGAGATTGTGCTTGGAAGGGATGCCTTGTAACTCGGATCTGTACGTATACTTGAACATCGAGGTGGTCATTGGTCTAGTTCAATGAAGTCCTTTTCTGCGAAGTCAAGTCGTACTCTAAATCCTTTGAGTTGTGATTGTGGACGGCATATCGGTTGTGATTAGCCATTCTTGTTCGAGTGTAGTGGGGTCATTTTGTCTTTGGATGTTCGTCTTTATTGTTGTGTGTTGATCTATATACTGCAAGGTATGATTTACATTTTATAAAATTTTTATTAGTTAGGTTTTTTAATTATGAATTTAGTTAGTTGTTTTCACAAAAGCATTTTGTTTTAGTTCGGTTATTTTGAAGAGTTACTCACCCTTGAGTACCTCTTATTAAAAATAGAAGTGTGGTCACAAAGCGTGGATGTAGCGCGGTGGGTTAGCCGGCTATAGAGCATGCTCAGGACGTCCTCTCTGGTGTGTTAGGCCAGGAGTGGGAGTATGATTTCGTGCGGTTTCTTTGAGAGGTCCTGTTATGTGATAACGTTTTATATTGGGTTTATGTTGGTCTTTCTTATGTTTCTTTGGTTGTGTCCTTTTTTCAAAAATCAAATTGTTTTTGTTATGGGTTTGTCTTTCGACTTTTTTGTGTTTTATTATTTCTTTCTTAGACTTTATAATAGTCTTCAAAAGAATAAATTAATCAGTTTTAAACTGGGTTAATCCGGTTTGGGTACCGTTGGTTTTTTTTTCTTAGTCATGCTGTTATTTTATGATTTGTGGTGTTTAGTAAGCTGCGTTGGTTAGTTTGGTTTAGTAGATAATTCCTTTACAACCGGGTTAAAGGAAAGTTTGAAACTTGTTATCTTGTGTTAGAGTTGTTGAGTGTGAAAACTTGAAACTGAAAATCATTATTTAAACAATTCTTCGTGGGCGAGCTGTGCGAGTTTGGATAGAATTCCTGTGCGAGTGAATGAAAAATTTGAAAAGGTTAGTACTGCATTTTCATTTTATCAATTTATTACATGAAATTTCAATTTTATTGCTAGTTTTGGGGGAAATTTAAAGTTATAAATTTTCATCATTATTAAATTTACTGCTTTATGGGGAAAAAATTTATAGATTAATTTACTACATTTGGTATGAATTTTATCAGATTATCTTGTGGAAAATATTAATGAAGTTTAGAATAATTTTAACAAGTTTATTTTTTATTTTTCTTTTCTGTTTTTTGCAGATGATCGTGGTATGAAGACTAAAAATCTAAAAGAAACATGAGTGAAGAATTGTTAGTATTAATTTAAATTTATTAGTTAAGAATATTTTTAAAATATACTTACCTGTTAATCGTCTGGGAAAAAGCCGTGGGGAAAGATGTCGCGTAATATGTCTGAATTTGTTAGTAATTTTGCTAGTATGCGAATGATGTTTTTAGTTTGGAGCAGTGGCAAAAGCAATTGAAGTGCTTTAATGGTTTTTAGTTCTTCGGTGCCTACTGCAAA